AGCTGGGCACAGTCTGAGGACAAGTCCTGGAGCTGGACGCTTTGCCCATCCTCACTTGTCATCTCCCAGAATCTAAAACACAAGAACCCCGCTTCCTGCTGGTCTCCACTCAGTGGTAATCAGTCCTCCTGAAGTCTTGTTCCTTCATGGGAACAGTGACTTTCAACATTGTGGGAAGTCACTCTGTCTTCCCTTGATCCCATTTTTACTTCTGGAATTGATTTCATAGCACATCTAATGTTTCCCCATTAGAGGGCCAAGAACTGCCTCAGGAGCACTAACCCTGTGACAAGACTGCTTAGGGACAAGCATGTGGTCCTAAGGGGAGGGTCTGGATTACCTGAGTGGCAGGTGACACTCCATTTTAAACAAAGAGGGATAAAAAGATCAATGAGCTCAGGTGGATGTAAGAGATACCTAGGGACCCGGTACTGAGCTGGATGGCAGTGACAAAGGCAAGGACAAGAGATCAGAGCTGATTTTCCCATTCCCACCTAGATGCCTTCTGGGGTTGAACCATCTGAGGCCACCAGGGGGCAGCGTTGTCTGAAGTTGGGGAAGGTACTTGCTGTGGTTGACCCTGACCTGTAGGAAGCCTTAAGGGTGTTTCCCATGAGATTCTCCTGAGGGGGTTGCGAAGGGAGGGCGATGCCCTGTAGCTGTTGCATCCCAATATCTCTGCTTCTAGATATGGCAATAAATGTTGCTGAGCCTCAGACTCTCTAGAGATCGGGAAAGGGATACGTGATCCTTCATTTCACCTGTTGAGCAAGGAGAAGAGGTTGAGAAGCAGTGAGAAGCTCCAGCTTTGCCTGGGGCCCTGGGGGACGGGGCACTCGGGTTTTTCTAGCTAAGCTCAGACCTTGTCCTCAGCCTCGTCCAGCATCTCGGAGGGGAAGTCCCTGTATTCCTCAGCAGAGGACCACCTTGATTCCCACAATAGGAGCACAGGGACACCCAGGGTTGGCTCCAGCTCCTAGGCACCTATGAAGGGTCTCAGCGTGTCCTGAGTGAGACTCCTGTCAAACAATTGTCATTCTCTCAGGTGAGCTCTGCTGTGTGTGGTGCAGAAGCAGGGAGGTCAAGGGCCAGGTCAGGGTGGGGTGAGGAGAGGCAGGTGCAGGAAGCAGATTTGCATGGAGGCCACGCCCACCCCTGAGGCAGGGGTGGGGATAAGAGAGGCCTGGGGGAGCCAGGCTCAGGGTTGGGGTCTCAGAAGGCAGCACTCTTGGGGCATCTCTGCTATGGCCTGGGCTCTGCTCCTCCTCACGCTCCTCACTCAGGGCTCAGGTGAGGCCTCCAGGGAAGGGAAATGGGGCGCCTGGGCTGATCCTTTGCCTCCCCCTCAGGCTCACCCGGGGCCCAGCACTGAACTCACCAGAGTGTGTTTTTGCTCTTTCAGGGTCCTGGGCCCAGTCTCCCCTGACTCAGCCTTCCTCCGTGTCTGACTCACTTGGAAAGTCGGTCACCATCTCCTGTGCTGGAAGCAGCAATGACATTGGGGGATATAACCTCGTATCCTGGTACCAACAGCGCCCAGGCACAGCCCCTAAACTCCTGATTTATGAGGTAAATAAACGGCCCTCAGGAATCCCTGAGCGCTTCTCTGGCTCCAAGTCTGGCAACACGGCCACCCTGACCATCTCTGGGCTCCAGGCTGACGACGAGGCCGATTATTACTGTTGCTCATATAGCAGTGGTAGCACTCGGCACAGTGACTCAAGTTCATGGGGAAGTGAGACCAAAACCTCCTTTGAACTCACTCAAGTCCCTTCACTCTTCAACACAGGCTTTCATTGATTTATCCTTTGTTATTATTTTAATTTTAAATAATTGCAAACTTAAACAAAAATTTAAAGATAATATAAAGAAATCCTATATAACCTTTTCCCTGATTCACTAGTTTGTAACACTGTATACCATATTTGCTTTTCATTATATTTCCTTATTTTTTCATCTGTCTCAGCATATATATTTTTATGTATGTGTATAAGTATAGGTATATACACATACAGAGATCTACATACATAACACATGCAAGCACATAACATACATTTTCTGAATCACTTGAGAGTAAGTGATTCAGCACCACCAGCGCCGATTTTTAATCTTTTTTTCTAGAATTTACATTCAATAACATACATCATTTCAGTGTGTATGATTTAGTGGTTTTTATTATATTCACAAGCACGCTCATCCATTGCCCTCTATAATTCCCCCCGAGGTGACACCTCATTCATTAGCAGTCACCCTGCATTCCCTCTTCTTTCAACTCTATGGATTTGCACATTCTGGACATTGCGCACAGATGGACTCACACACCACGTGGACTTTTGTGTTTGAGTTTTATTATTTATCAACACGCTTTCCAGGTCAGTTCTTGTCGAAGCATATACCAGGACTTCATCTCTTATCATGGCCAAATAATATTGCATTGTATGGATATACCTCATTTTATTTATCAATTAATCAACTGATGGAATCCTATTACCTTATCTTTCTCTTCTGTCACAGCCCAAGGGCAGAGTGGTCCTTTCGGGATCTAGCGCATGAAAACTCTAGGTTCACGTCACTTCACATGAGGAAATAAAAATATAATACTCATTCTCAGGGAAATCTGTAGGAGGCAGACTAGGCTCATTTTTCTCTCATTCTTAGAGCCCTAAGGATTGCCTGTTGAGGAGCATCTTTCCTTCTTTGGAACTGATTTTTGAACATGTCCTGGATGAACCGGAGAGGCCAGGGAGGGGCCTGGGCCTCAACCTCATCAACTGAACAAGGGGGCTTCATCCTTGTACTGGCTCTTTCTTTCTCTCTTCCAGCGTCTTTGTCGAACGTTCTAGGCAACTTTCTACCACCTCCAAAAGGCTAACAGGACAGGTTTTTCATCTTCTACTTGTGGTTTGTCATAAAAATTTAGTCCTTGTCTGCATTTGCTCTGAGGCCTTGTCTATGGAGCTGAGGAAAGGAAAAGAATTCAGATATATTTCAGTTTATTTTTCTAAATTCCTTCTATTATAAAATGCATCATTCCCAAAGAAGAGTGTGTGAGATGAACATTCACAATTTAAGCAGGACTAATAAGGTGACATCACATCTACCCACGGCTAGATCTACCCACCCAAAGCATATTCGTCTATCCCACTCCCCAAAGAGCCACTGTGCTGACTTCGGTGTTAATCCCTCTACTGCTTCGCTTGTCTTTCCATCCCTGTATCTTCCTGGAACTGCACCCACAAGCAACGTAGTTTTGAAACAGTGAGGATAAGCTACAAACCAGCTGAGTGAGGAAAGGACAATGCATCCATCAGGAGAGGCTCCAGGGTGGATTCACCCCAAGCTCAGTCTCGGGCAGAGCTCCCCCCAGATTTATTGGAACCTCTCCCGAAGAGGACAGACACGGCCCCGGAGGAAAGAGAAGGGATCCTAGAGTTGGGTCTGATCTTGCTAGATGTGAGCCGGGTCTTGGCTCTCTAGTAGGAATATTGGCGGGGGGTTAGGGGCTGCACATTTTCTGTTGCCTAGTTTTAAGCCTGGACTCCAGGGGTAGTCTGAAGCACTCACTGGGAGGAACAGAAGACATTAATCTTGGCTGGTTGGGACATGGGCAGTGGCTCATGTGAAGACAAGTTTGGCACAGACAAGAAAGTACAAATAAGAATCCAGGCCACACACTCCCAAACATTACAGGATGCCAGAGCCGTTTGCACCTTGGATATGTCAGCTTCCACATCGATGCCTCTTTCCATGTATTGCCCAGTGGGGAAAGGCATGAGTGGGAGATGAGCATTGGAACACGGTGGGCAGAGGAAACAATATTCATGAGGCGCACAGGGTTCTTGTCACGATACCCTCAGACTCAACTCCGCCTGGCCTCTCATCCGGAGAAGTGTGTTCCACCTCTGCCAAGGACAAACTTGTGCAGGGAGGGGCTGGTGGGCAGCGGTCTACCAGCCTCACTAGTAGGAGGGAGAGAGGATTCGGACACCCACCTGCTTCTGTAATAGTTTCCACTTCTTCTAATCTGTCATTTATCTCAGCTCATCACTTCCATACAGCTGATTGAGAATAAAATATGGCATTTGAGGTTGGAACCTTTGCAGACTTGAGACTGGGCTCTGTCAGGTCTAAGTCAGTTACCACTTGTCAACATGCAGCCTGGCTTTCAAGTTTGTGTTGTCATTTTTTTCTCTGTTTTTTGGTCTCCTACATGAAACTCTGACACATGGCAATAATGCTCAATCTAATTTTAGTGGGTTTAGAAAGAGAACTAACAGTGGTATATTCACTCAATTCCACCCACATTCATTGCATTCATTGGTTGCTCCTTGTATGTGCCCTGACTGGAGACTGAATCTGCAACCTTGGAGTATTGGGACAACATGCTAACCAACTGAACTACCCTGCCAGGGCTTCCAATAAGTTCTTTATACAAGGTCCAACAGATGCACCCCAGGGCTCAGCCTCAGGACCAGTGCCCAGGCAAGGGACAGATCAGTGCACAAAAAACCCATCCTATGAGAAGAACCAGAAGGTTTGAAGAATGAGAAGTCCACAGCTTTGCCTGTGGTCCCTAGAAACTAAGCAACTGAATCTCTTCCAGCCTGCCTCGGACCCTGTCCTCACCTGCATCCCTCAGAGCAAGAAGTGGAAGTCCTAAGATTCCTCAGTCAGGAACCACGGTGACCCTTGCAATAGGAAGAAAGGGACATCCAAGATTGTCTCCATTTCCTAGGCACTGTCATGGGCTCAGCCTATCCTGACTCAGAAAATACAGATCAAAGACTTTTAATCCCTCAGCCCAGCTCTCTGCCCAGCGTGCAGGGTATCTAGACTCAAGCACCAGGTCTTCAGGGGGGGTAGGGAGAGGCAGGTGCAGGAGGCAGATTTGCATGGAGTCCCCTCCCTCCTCTGAGGCAGGGGTGGGGATAAGAGAGGCCTGGGGGAACCAGGCTCAGGGTTGGGGTCTCAGAAGGCAGCACTCTTGGGGCATCTCTGCTATGGCCTGGGCTCTGCTCCTCCTCACGCTCCTCACTCAGGGCTCAGGTGAGGCCTCCAGGGAAGGGAAATGGGGCGCCTGGGCTGATCCTTTGCCTCCCCCTCAGGCTCACCCGGGGCCCAGCACTGAACTCACCAGAGTGTGTTTGTGCTCTTTCAGGGTCCTGGGCCCAGTCTCCCCTGACTCAGCCTTCCTCCGTGTCTGACTCACTTGGAAAGTCGGTCACCATCTCCTGTGCTGGAAGCAGCAATGACATTGGGNGGGATAAGAGAGGCCTGGGGGAGCCAGGCTCAGGGTTGGGGTCTCAGAAGGCAGCACTCTTGGGGCATCTCTGCTATGGCCTGGGCTCTGCTCCTCCTCACGCTCCTCACTCAGGGCTCAGGTGAGGCCACTGGGGAAGGGACCACAAGGACATCTGGGCTGATCCTTTGTCTCCTCTTTTAGGCTCACCTGAGCCCAGCACTAAACTTACCACAGTGTGTTTTTGCTCTTTCCAGAATCCTGGGCCCAGCCTGCCCTGACTCAGCTTCCATCATTGTCTAGGAATCTGGGAGAGTCGGTCACCATCTCCTGTGCTGGAAGCAGCAATGACATTGGGCGTTATAATTATGTCTCCTGGTACCAACAGCGCCCGGGCGCAGCCCCCAAACTCCTGATTCACCATGTAAATACTCGGCCCTCAGGGATCCCTGAGCGCTTCTCTGGCTTCAAGTCTGGCAACACGGCCACCCTGATCATCTCTGGGCTCCAGGGTGACGACGAGGCTGATTATCACTGTTTCTCATACGTGGGCAGTAACACTTACCACAGTGGTACAAGTTCATGGGGAAGTGAGACCAAAAGCTGTCCTGGGCTCACAGGCTCCCTGGTTGCTCTGAAGGTGCTTCTCCACCCTGAGCAGAGGGCTCAGGAAGCATGGCCTAGAGTTCACTTCCTCTCATCTCTTCTCTCCTGCCATGAAGTTCAAAAGAAAAACACCCATGAATTTTCTGGGTATCATGACAGCTTCCTCTTGCCCTGTGTAAAGTGTCCCCAGAGATAAACCTATCTCTTGATTGTTAGGGGCAGAGGGAGAAGCACACACCTGCTTTGTGCGCCTCCTGCTGTTCTCAGGGAAACCGGACCTTAAATTCCTCCACTCCACAGAGCTACTCACCGCCCTCGATGGATTCAGTTCTCCAGAAATGACTGTCATATTCAACTCTGCGGCCACCATGCTCTGGTCAGGATAGTTCCCCGGGGTGGGTCTGTTCCCAAAGCAACAGCACCTGAGGGAATATCTGAAGACATTGCTGGGACAATGAGGGCAAACAGAGTATATTTTTCTCTTTATTGTCTCTCATCTTTGACCCATGCCCTTGGGAGCTGAGCTTGGAGAAGTGGAGTAAGAGCTCTGTGGTCTAAGATCTCTGCCCTTAGCCACCCCCACCCCCCAGGTGCCTGAACCACTGTCCTGGATGTTGCTCTGTACGTGGATTGTCTCCCCATTAGAATGGGCTCTTTTTAAAATGAGTTCTTTGTTCCACAAGAGAAGAAATACCAGGCTGTCCTCAGTTCTTCTGGGATCTTCATGTGTGTCCAGTTTCCATGGTGAATCAACCAGGTTTCTACCTGATTCTCACTTACAATGAAAACCTAGGTACACACACCTAACTATCTATGCAAGATTTTGCTTAACTCCTTTGAAAATAGGCTTAAATTTCAGAATGCCTGAGAGGGTGACTCTGTCTTCCCAGTTCTAGAACTTTTCCAGTTTTAACACTCTAAAGTGTCCCCCCAGGCAATGGCCTCATTCTTGGGCAAACCAGGATGGTTTTATTTTGAATAATTTCTATCAAAAAGCTATGCCTTTATAGTTATAGAAGATTATCTGCAATGGAAAAATGCCATTCATACCACCTAGTGCAGTTATCACTTTTAATAGTTCCATTTGTTGTCTTTATTACCTTCTATTTCTTTCGTGACACTTTCTTTCACTCATTTCGAGAGGGTTTTCTATACGTAGGTCATTTTGGTAATAACAGCTTATTTTTCAGTCTTTTCTCAAGTAATTACATCTGAGTCACCGTGGTTATCACCCACTGATTGTCTTTCCCTGCAATTGAGGTTATGCCTTTCTTTATATGTCCAGTAACTTAGGATTCTATTCTGCACCTATTTTATATTATGCTGTGAAAACAGTGGATCTTGTTTAAACGTTATGTGGACTTTTTATTTTAGAAGGTAACCTGCCAATTGGGTTTGGCCAACAAGTTCCATCCAGCCATCTGTGGATGGGGTTTAAATGTCAGCTCAATTTTAAATCTTGGCAGCATTATGTGGATCTACAACCAATGTGCACCACTAAGTGGTCCATGTGGGAACTAGGCATTGGGCTACCTCTTAACTCTGTACTGAAATCTGCCCTTGCTCTTTGGGATCCAATCCACGCAAGCACACATCAGAGGTGGCCCCAGGAGTTCATGAGCAATTTAGAAGGTTGCTTTCTCAAGTTTTTTCTTACCGCTTTCTCCCCAGTCCCTAGATCTTGCCCTTAGCTCATTCTGTCCTTGGCCAGGACCTTACCCTTCCTTGCGTTCTTGGACAGAATATTCACACTCCATAAAACTCTTAACCATTTCCTGAGCGGACATTGCTGTTTCCATTCTGGGTAGAATAAGTTAGCCCTGCTTGGAGTCTGTACCCCAAACCCATCTTTTCCTAGAAAAGCATAGCATGTCTGTGTGGATGGAAGAGATGTTGCCTCAGGAAGGGGCACAGCTCTGAGGTGAAGTTGCTTCAATGTGCACAATGCCAACAATGGAAAGAAAGTTTCTTATCCCCTGAGGCAGGCGGACACTCCTTGAAGACAGGTCCCTGAGCTGGGAAACTTGGAGAAATCCTAACCCTACTCTCCTTACCCTCAGGCCCTGGAATTCCACTCCTGCTGTTTATTAGATTGCTTTCAATCCTAGTGAATTTGCTCTTCTCCTTTATGGAATATTTTTTCATCATTTTGAGAAGGCAATCCGTCTTCTCTTCATCTCCTTTATCTCACCTAGCCTTCCTACTGGAGTTGGTATTATTTCACGTCTACTGTTCCCTCAACCCTGAGACATCTGCCTCAGGAGCACCGATTCTGTGTCAAGGTCATCCAGACAAGCCCAGTGGTCCTGAGGGGCTGGGGGTGGGGTCTGGACCATCAGGTATGGGCAGGTTACACATTTCATTCTGGAAGAAGCTGGTGACAAAGTGAAAGGACTATAAAGGGGATTAGAAGTGTTAAAGAACATCATTCCACCGTGAATTTGAAGATCTAGTTGGCTTTATTACATGATTCATGAATTGAGCAGCATCCGATCTAGCAGCTGGAAGGGCTTTCTGAGGGCTGTACAAAATGGAAGGGTTTTATAGGCAGAAAGAGGGTGGGACTAAGACGTTAAAAGAGTAGATTATTTCAGACGGCGACACCTTCCCTCAGGGGAAGGCAGGGGTCTCATCAAGCAGATTATCTCACTAGTGCTGACCAGGAAATCCCAGGCTGCTTGGTTTAAAACTCCACTCCTGGGGCAGCTGAAACTGCAATTAGGTTAGGTATTAAGTTTTGGCTTGGTGATGTAGTTTAGCAAAAGTGAGTCCATTGTGGTCAGTTATTTCTTTTCTTTTCTTTTTTTAACAGAAAGAATCAGGGAGCCTGGTAGTGAGCTGGGATGAGTAAGAAGGAGGCAGGGAGGGCAGCAGAGCAAGGGTTTTCAGCTCTGAGTCAGCTGCCTTCCTGGCGCCACAACTCGAAGTTGGTCACTCCAGTGTTTGCCACCAGGTGGCAGCGAGGGCCTGGATTTGGGACAGGTCATTGCTGTGCTTTGCTCTGGCCTCTATGGGGTCCTAAGATCTGTTTCCAATGGAAATACGTTTAAGGGAGAATTTGGGGTGCAATGTCCCCAGTGTGCATTGCTTCAAAATCCTTTGCAAGGAAGGATCATAAATGTCCCCAGGTCTCAGCTTCGGAGCAGAGCAGAGGCAGGGGACAGGTAGGATGAGGGCCCATCCTGCTGAGGATAGGGAAGGGGTATGGGTGTGGACAACCACAACTCTGTCCTCAGTGCCTGGGAAGAAAATCAATTTGATTCTTCTACTCCCAGCCATTCGGAACCCTGTCCTCACCCTCCACCCATGCAGACTACAGAGTAAGTACAGGGACTATTTGGCCAACGGACCATATCCTGACACCCACAGTGGGAAGGATGGGGGCCTCTGAAGCCTGACTACATTTTCTGGGAACGTTCATGGGCGCAGTCTTAGAAAGCCCATGTCAAAGAGATTTAATCTCTCAGATTTGTTCTGCTCTGCATGGATGCAGAGCATCTAGACTCAAGGGCCAGGTCAGGGTGGGGTGAGGAGAGGCAGGTNGGACCATATCCTGACACCCACAGTGGGAAGGATGCGGGCCTTTGAAGCCTGACTACATTTTCTGGGAACTTTCATGGGCTCAGTCTTAGGAAGCCCATGTCAAAGAGATTTAACCTCTCAGATTAGATCCGATCTGCATGGATGCAGAGCATCTAGGCTCAAGGGCCAGGTCAGGGTGGGGTGAGGAGAGGCAGGTGCAGGAAGCA